TTTTTTTTGGCAGGTGTGGCATTGCTCTGGATGCTTGGATGCTTCCAGTAGGTGATGACATTTACCAAAACAGTGTTCAACAACCCCTGCTTTTTATCAACTCTGAAAAATTCCAGTGGGCTGATAATATCTTGAAGATGAAGAAGGTTGGTTCCAATGATACAAACAAGAAAATGATCACTATCAAGTAAGTATCAGGAATCCATTCTTATCTCCTGGTTAAAATACACAGCTCACAGGAAACAGACTCCCCTATGATTCACCTGTCCTCACAACAGAGGCAATTCAATCATCTTGAACTTTTGTCAAGCCTATTCTTCTATCACTGCTGCAGTTCTAGTGGCTTACAGGAGCACATACCAAACTTGCCTCCCTTCTGAGGTTAGGACGGAGTTTACTGCTAGTCGTGCATACTAGTCTTCGTAAGATTAACCTGCTCTGTTTTATCTGCCTGACAGTATAGGTGCTTGACTGTCTTTGAAGAAAAAAAAATTACATGCATTGCAAAGTTAAGTGGAGACTCTATTCTTATGAGGCTGTTAAACCTTTTCTATTTGCAGAGGGTCAGTACATCAGAGCTTTCCTGACTTTACCTTTGTGAGCGGAGAACTCATTGGAAGATTTTTCAAACTGAAAGGAGAAATAGATCCAAACGAAGCTATTGATATTAGCAATCAGGCTTCATTAGCCTTCCTGCAAAAACACTTGGGTAAGTTAGAAGTATGGAGTGACTCAATACTTGCTTATTGTGAAAGTTTATATAAAATCACTCTGTTTAGAACAAGATTGAAAATGAGCACTGTAAAAGAGTTTAAGAACCACCACCCTAAGTTTGTAAAGATTGTTTATGTAGAAGAAGAACATATTAGTTTTAATATTTAATGCATAAGAACATGAATGTCAGTTTCCCCACATAACATCAGTTTCCATAAGTTGCTGAGCTGTTTCTTTCACAAAGATGATTTGAAAAACCTTAAAAAAATCCTATAATCTGATTTAGGTGTACCCTTATAAAAAAAAATGGACTACTTAACTCTTTTTTTTTTTTTCCTCCCCTATTTTATAGGTCTGAATAGAGACTTCAGTAAGTGGGATTCTCTTGTGGATGGCATAGGACCCAATGTTATTCCTGGCACCAACATTGATTTGTCTCCAGCTCAACCTGAATAACTAATGCAAAGACATTTGTAAATGCCACGAACATCACAACACTAATGCTAGCCAGATATTACTGAGATATAGGATAGCGGTGGTCACTTATACAGCTTTTGAGGAGTGGAAAGCAAAACAACACACACACATGCATCAGGCTACACTGTCAAAATGTAAAGAAGTAACTTAAACTTAAAACACTCAGATTTTGAATTAAAACCAAGTTCATAAAGACAGTTGAATTCCTTGATGCTTAACCTAAAGCCAAGGTTCAAGTCAATGTACATCTAGATAAGTCTTTTTTTTGCAGTTCAGTAACAAGCAAAAGACTCTTCAAACTACCCGAATTATTTTAGATATGCTCTGGCAACAACTTCATCTAGGAAGAATTTTTTACTCCTTCTAGCTAGGAAGCTACTTGTGGAAGTAGTTCTTTAAAACTCCCATCATAAAAGTAATTCTGAAAGCCAGAGACTATAGTTTAAGATGATGAGGGAGAAAGGACTTTTCACATGAACTTATTCCACCTCCATTTTCAAGTTCTGTGTTTATTGCTACATTCAGTCTTTCCCTTACAAAAGCTGCTAAAAGGGCCAGTCCTGTTGTAACTTCCATAATTCTCTTTACACAGAGCTAGAGCCTTACACAGAGCGCTCCTTGTTAATCTACTGTCAGCGATACGATAGTAGGTGGTAGGGAAGAGACACTCCTCACTTTTTCTGTTCCTATTGAAAGGGGTATGTGACGTCCCAGTCAAATTTCTTCATCATCCTGATGTTCACTTGTTAAGGTACTAGCATTGCTGTCTGTATATGTGAAGCAGGAGGAGTTGGTTTGGCTAATAGCCAAAACAGGGATCTGTTTCTTGGAATGAGATTCTTTGAAGGCACCAGGATGAGGAATGACTACTAAATGCATGAGCCTTACGAAAGGGAGACTACATCTAACTGCAGCCCATTTGCTTCAAAGTAAGTTTATAGACAAAATTAGAACTGGAACAAGCAACATTAACCCTATGTTGATGTAATGAAATATTTAATATAATCTGTGATCCTTACATGAGACTGTGGGAACATATAAGGTCTGTTTTTTTTTCAGAATTTCTTAATTAAAATTCTTGTCTCTACTAAGAAAACCAAAATTTGCAAGCATTTCTTATGGAATAATCAGTAGCAGTTGACATCTGTGATACTAAGGAAGACTTCCATATGAGAGACCAGAATTAAGACTGCAGTTGTTGCAGAAGAACCTGTAGTATATATATATATAGCAGTATATAGCAGGAAACAGCATTATCCTACCAAAATCCCTTTTCCATCTCTGAGGATGAAGAGAACAAAAGGTATGAAGAGTTGCACATCTTTTAAGGGATCCCTACCACACTATGCATGCAGCAGAACTGTTTTACTAGTCCTGCTTCACATTTACAAGGAAGGTTTTAGTTAGCACCATTAAGAACCTGTCATTAGAAACACAAGTGTGGGGTGTTTCAAAGGGGCCAGCACAGTGACACTACTTTAAAGGGCCGTTCAGAGTCAAAGCAGAACTAGTAACTGCAAGATATGCACAGCTACAGCTAACTGCAGTACACCTGAAGACACTCTGTGAGCACATAGCACGTGGACACAGACATACAGAAAGGGGAAGATTCATTAACAAAAATGGACAGTATATCTCAGCACAAGCTTTATTCTAGCTCCTTCCATTGCTTAAGGAGAGCACCAAGTTTAAGACTTCAAACCAAAATAACGTTTTTCCCCCCTCCCAAAGGGACAAAAAAAATACCCTTAGCTTTTCTTAAAAAGAAAATCTCTATTAAACACAACACAACTTTTCAGAAAGTGAACATCAGTAAGCAGTAGTGTGCAACACAGGAGCCTATATCATAGCTCACAAGAAACCTTTGCTCAAGGAAAGCCCACTAATAGCTCAATACAAGTCAGTACACAAAAACATTCTGTAAGAAATACCAGTCAAAGGCTGCACATTCACATTTAAGTAAGGACAAGACAGCTTTGTTAAGATGCTGACCCGATAACAAAATGATCCATCAACAAGCACTATTTTTTGACAGGCATTTTGACAGGCATTTGTTCAATTACATAAAAGAAACATTCAGAATGTTACTGTTTTCTTAAGAAAACTTTTTTTTTTTATAGGAGGGTTTGTGTACAGAGGTACTTGTTCAGCATAGTGGTGGACGTGTCACTCAATTTCAGGAACACTAGAGGACACAAGGATCTTCAGCTAAATCTGAACTGCAGCCAGTTTGCTTTTCTAGAAAGGATAAAGAGATTCCACCCATCAAAGTGTTTCTAGAAGCATATACAAATGCATTAATATCTAAAAGCAGTTCTATATTGCTCTACAAAACTTCAGGCTTATCTTCATCCTAATCTTCATCATTATATCAAAGACTGGATTTCTGAAAAGTTCTTGTATAATGAAAACCAACTGCAGGACAGTTGAAATAATCAAATTGCCCAGCAGATTAAGTGAGCACTGTGCCCAGACACTATTTTTGAGTTAAGCCATTCCATCCTTCAACAGGCTTAGTGTTAGTGCATTTTTTTTTGCATTCTGTGCACTAAGTATCTTCTATTAAACTGTTTACAGTCAGTAGCCCAGATGCTCAGCAAAATTCAGTTCTATACAATGTGGGTATATAACTTCAACTACCATTTACTAAGAAAAACTTGCTGAGAGGGTGCATTAGGTTAAAAAAAGTGGAGTATGTAAGAACAGAGGTTGAATTTAGACAGCCACAGTTAGCAACTTAAAGAATACTGAAGTGGTATAAAAGCCACAAAATATACATTTGAAAACAGAAACAGCAAGAACCACCCTGCATTAAGGGGGAACAAAGGCATATACTTCTCCACCTCACTGGTGGAACTGGTGCTTGGCCAGCGGTCTCAGCAGTTTTTACATCAGAGTAGCAAACATTAACATTTATCAGGGACTAACATGTTAGCAGGCTACCTACTATGTGTATTAACCAATAGGTATTTGCTGTGTACTTTTAAGTTGCATATATTTCTTGCAGAGTTGTTCCCTTGGAACAGTATAGGGAAGATTCAGATGATCTCCATTTTAACATTTTAAATCAAGGTCTATGATCTTACCTGTCAAGAAAAAAAAAAGTTAACAGTTGCAGGCTTTATTTTGTTATCCATAAACTGACTGTGTTTAACACAGCTGTACATAGTTACCAATTCAGTCATTGAAAATGAAAATGCTGCTATTATTACTCAGTTTCTGTCAGGCAAACACTGCTCAAACACTGGAACAGCTGCCCTGAAGTGGTGGAATCTCCAGTCTTGAACAAAGTTAAAATCTGACTGGACATGGCTCTGAGCAACCTCGTCTAGCTGACCCTGCTTGGGGTAGTGGGTTGGACTAAGTGATCTCCAGAGTTCCCTTCCAACCTCAACCATTTCATGGTTCACATTCTGTGAATAGCAAGTGCGTAGCCAAAAAGCCTCTACAAACTTTGCTTGGACACAGGATACTTGGGTTCCTCATTAACACTCCAAAGTTTCATTGAAGATTTACACACACTACTCCCAATCTTTGCAATAATTAAGGTGAGTTATTTCACTCAGAGCCAGGGACCACGATCCACTAAAGGATTTGGGCATTCAACTCCAGAACTGCAATCCTTATCATTTCTGCCCAGCAGTCAGTCACCAGGGAGAAGAAAAACCATGCCCAAACCCCCACGAGAATCTCTACTCTGACCTTCTCTCTCCAGCTTGTCCAGAGGGCTCAATGCAAAACACTCAATAAATATATGCTCATTTGACTTCCACTCAGAACACTGCAGCACTTTTCATTGCCATTGTTATGCTGTGACAGTGTATAAACAAATCACTAAAAATTACAGGGACAGCAATTAGAGTATTAGATTGAAAAAAAAAAAACAACAACAAAAAAAAAACCCACAAAAAACGGGCATTTTTGATTAATTTTCTAAAACAAAAAAATACCAGAAAGATAAAATGCATCTAGAACTGAGTACCCTTTGGTAGATTTAAGGTAGTCTTACCTTGAAGTTTTGATTCCTCTACTAAGGACTCCAAGTTATCTGTTGCATTCGTAACTGCCTAAACAAAGGGGGAATTCTGTTAGGAAGTGCAGGCACAATTGCCGAAATTGTTTTCTGTTGATGCATTCCTCTAAATACCAGACTAACTTGTAACATCAGCACTGCTGGATTCAGCACCGTTTTCCTGCTATAGCTCACTCCAGGTGCCTTTTCCCTTTTTTGCTTCCATGCAAGAGGTACGCAGGAATAACGACCTGAAAAGTCATTCTGCTATCATCTTAAGTAACATGGCTGTTCAGCTGAGTTTTAGATATAGACAGGAATTCCTCATTGGTTTGTGTTTCATGAACAATACTGTTCAAAAAGTCCACTTTTCAAAGGACTTTTATTGCTAAATAATTATGAAATATTTTTAAAAACAGACCAATTATATACTCTGCTAGCATCATTTATGAGAATTCATGGACCTCAGCATTACTCTGAATTTCTTTATTCAAGCACTGTTCACTGAAATATCCCTAGACTGAACTCAGTGTTCTTAGTCCTGATGGCTGACAGATTTATTGATTTACACAAGGCTTTTGAAGAACAAAAGCCAACATGACCTCTTAGAAAGGCAAAGTATTTCTATTTATTCTCAGGCTGCTGAATTCAGAATAACCTTCATTTTAAATAGCCTGCTTTTTCATTTCCCCTTTTCTTTCCCCTATTTCTTAGCTACTACCCCACCATACCTCAGATGATCTGCAAGCCCAGTCAGGAATACCATTCCACACATTCTCAGGATCCACAATCTCCTCGCTGCCATTGGAAAGATTCAAAACCTGTATAGATAAAGCAGGCTCACATCTAGCACAACTGTGAATCCCAAAAGCACACTGTAAATGCATGTTCTGCAAGACACAGTGGTGGACAAAATACAACTGAGGATTCCCTAAGTTAGAGAGAGCTTTTAACTCAGGTATTCCAAGGAAGAATAAACGTGTAAGAATAACTGTTAACAAAGCTGAGTATCCCTACTAAAGCTGATCCATAGACCCAAATTTAAATATTTCACATGCAGTCTCTGCTAAAGCACCCAGCGCAAGGCTCTCTCTAGACCAAAAGGATCCTAACCCAAGCACCAAAGCAGACAAGGGCTAGAAAACACCTAAAAGATCCGAGCCGTCAGAAACCTTGTTCACATGATTATTTGATGCCTAACGTGAGCGTTAGCACCAACACTCATCTATTGACCGTAGCCAGGGCTAGATTTAGTTGCTCAAAGACCTCTACTAGCCCCAAAGTTGGCTTCTGATCTGAGGCACTCATCTTCAAAATGTTACTTCTATGACATGATTATTTTAAGTGGCAATTTAAGGCTACAAATCTAAAGTGATATACATATGTCTTTTATATATAAAATTTGTAGATGCTGGGAGACAGTTTTATTTCTCATTTGCCTATTTATTCCATATCTTAGTAAACAGCAGTAGAAAAAGGCAGTTCATTTTATTAGCATTAAAGTTAACTCCCTCCAGTCACCTTGGATTTACAGAGTTGTTCATTCAATAAAGATATAAATAATACACATTTTTTTGGGGAAAATATACGTTACACTAAGTTTCTTCTTAAATTTCTATTGCTCTAAGACTATTTTTTAAAGTGTCAGTAAAATGATGCCAAATGTCATGGACCTTTAACAGTAAAAAAAAGCTGCACAGGAGAACACTGACTTGCAATGCAGAAATAACAGCACTACATAGTGGTGGCAAGGAAAGAATACACCTTAAAACAGAGGTTTCTCTCTGGTTTCTTCCACTCATCTTAAGGGAGCAAGACATGAATGAAGTGGTGACAAACAGTATCCACACAGTATGAGGCAACAGTTTCTATGTAGTCTGGAGGTCCAGAATCAGCATTTTCAATACTAAATATTTTCATTTCTGCAGCTAACTTCTGCAAAATAATTCAAGTTTGAAGGTAGACAGAAAAAGAATCAGTTCTTACGAATGCACAAAGAGCATTCAAGTCATACTTACCCTGGTACCTTTTTCAGATACCTCCAAAATGCGAGCCTCGCACCACTTCAGAGACGTCCACACCATGCACTTGGAACCGACGGCGAAGCCCTTTAGATTACAAGTATATTCACTGTGTTCTACAAAATTGATGACATATCAGGAAAACAGTGGGTAGGGAAAATAAAATAAAAGTCTTAACTGCCTCAAACGCTGTTCCCACTCCCTCTCCCAAACTATTTTTTTTAAGCCTCAATACTCCTGAAAAGGAATTTCTTGTTTAGAAATATTTTCCATTTATAAAACTGTAAAATTCTCAAAGTAAAGTTATCTCCTATTAGGCCATCACATTGCCCATGAGACACTACACACATCCCAGTGTCCACAACCCCACAACCCTTCAATGAATGCTGAGGCTAAACTGAAGCCCTAACAAAGTATTAGGGAATATATATATATACATGTATGTATATACATATGTATATGAGGAGGGGAAATATATATATATACACACACACACACATATATATATTTTTTTCCCCTTTGGTGGTGGGGTGTTTGAATGTATACTACATTTTGGTTATTTATTCAAAGAAGAAAAAAAAAAAAGTTTTACCTGTATGGCACACAGCCAAATTTTCATTTTGCTTTTTTCTTAGTTCTTCACCCACAGGCTTACATTTGAAAGCCTGTTCATTTAGAAATTCACTTCCACATTCTTTAAGAGAGTCGGACAAGTCTCGTTTCATCCATTCTTCCACTGAACTGTCATCTTGCTTTTTTGGCCCTTCCTTGCATTTCTCCATTTTGCAGTCACATGATTTTGCAGTGCAAACAGGTCTCCAATTCATCAGGTCAGTTTTAAGGAATGAAAACTGACTTCTGCTCTTTGCACAAGTCTGTAACTCAGTGTGTTCCAGCCCTAGCAAGTCCTCATCTCCGTCCTCCTGAGGAGGCTGCACATCAGGCAGCACCAACTCGAGAAGCTGTTTAATTTCAGCACCGAGCACTGACTGGATGTCACGGGTCTCTAGTTCCAGTTGTTTCTCAGCTCCACCACCGAAAGGTGGCAACATCAGGGTAGGACCTACTTCCATCCAATCATTTTGCAGAGCTTCCACTTCGTGAACCACAGGCAAATCCAATGTCAGTGCCTGCGTCTTATCTCCCAAAGAAAGCTGTACACCGGATGGAAATAATTCTAAAGTTTTCCCTCCATTGCTAACCGGAGGCACCAAATTTTCTCTCTCATGAGATGGTGGTGTTATTTCTGAAGATTTCACAGCTGCCAATTCCCCTGTCTCATCACTCGAGGGTGGCACTTCAAGTGATTCCAGTTCCAGCCTTTCCTCTTTTGCTTCCCTGCCTGGAGGTGTCCGTGTTGCAGGTGAGTCTGTCCCCAGAGCCTCCTTTGTCTTTTCACCAAGTGAGGACGACACTGAAAACGACCCTAGCTCCAACATGAACTCTTTCAGATCATCGTACGAGGAGTCCATCTGTAATTGCTCCAGTTCCAGTAATGACCCCGTTTCATCCCCCACGGAAGGCTGCATCTGGAGCAAGGGCCATCCTAGCAGCTCTTCTTGTTTATTTTCCAGAGGACTGAGTGCCGAAGCAGCGCCTGTCAGTTCTGCTTTCAGCTCAGCATCCTCTACAAGAGGTACCTGAGACGACAGCTCTTGTTCTGCAGCTTTCACATCACTTTCCAAAACACACACAGAGCCACATCCTGCTGGTTCTAGTGACACATCTTCATCACTCTCTTGTTCAAACCCAGAAGTCTCTTTATCAAAGCTGTTTTGATGCTCAGCTGTTTTATATTCAGCAGCAGCTTTCACAGAAGAACATTCTTCACATTCCACTGTCACACTTGCTTTTACATTATTTGAACACACAGAAGTTGTATCCAAGACGCACTCACTTTCACCTTCTTCCTGGAGTACTCTACAAGTAGCCATAGTTTCTTTTTCAAGATAAAGATCCATATTATTACTTGACTCTACACTCTCCTTTGAAGAGGTCTCAGGGTTTAAGAAAGTTGTGTCACCACTCCCTGTACTGGCCTTCCAAAAACATTCCATCTCTTCATTAATACTCTTCCCACCAGTTTCCAGCTGGACAACAGACAGAGGAACTTCAGAAGCTTTATCTTCCCAAGTTTCTATTACTTTAGCTTCCAATAACAGTTCCACAGTCATATCACAGAACTTAACTTCTGCTTCACTAAGCCAGGAGCCCTCAGATGAATTAAATCCAGACAGACAGCACGGAAATGCTTGATTAGGTATTTTGAGCAATTCACTTGGAATCCGTCCGACCATTTCCATGTTAACAGTTTCCTCAGTTCCATAATCCACAGATCTAACAACTAAATTATCACCTTTTATATTGCTGACTTTCGCTCTATAGAGCTTCCCATCTTCACTGCATTTTGCTATACAAATATCACCAGCTTTAACACAAGATCTGAAATCATCCATGGAGTTTAGTCCAAGATTTTCAGCTTCTTTTATTTTTTCTTCTATGTATCTTATGTTTTCTGTATCAGCACACTGACTCCAAAAGTACTCAGGACCCTTTACTACCGTGACACGAATTTTTACAGTTTGACCTGCCTGTGGTACCCTCCAGGTAAATGATTCAGAACCACTTACACTGGAAATTTCACTTTGCTCATTAGGAGGCAAAGGCTCACACACATTCGCAATTTCAGCACCATTTTCTCTTTTGTCAAGTACTTCTGTAGAATGAGATTCTTCCCCACTTGGAATATTTTCATTAACTAACTCCACTGTTATTATACCTTCATTGTCACTGAGAATAACTTCCCATTTATCCTCAACTTTATCTACAAATTCACATGTTATCTGAACTTCACTTGTTCTTCGGGAGAAGTCAAGGTTTGCTTTCTCTGACCAATTTGTAGGTTTTTCATTTTTAAGTCCACCTAGGAAGCAGTGAATACCCATTGCTGGAATAGATGATGAGTCTTCAGGGAGTCTACATACTTGACCAACATTAATTACTGAGGTATTACCATAATCAATATATTGTACACTAATCGAATTATCAGAAGACCTATCTTTTACTACAGCTCTATACCATAAGCTATCTTCTGAATAAACAGCACTGATTAAGTCTCCTGCTCGCAAGAGCCGCCCACAAGGGTTCTCCGCTCTTGTCTTACTATTTAAGCTTTCCGAAATACCATTAAGTTCAGACTCATCACTTACCAACTGAACATAAAAATCTGAAGGATCGTTCACATGAGAAACATATACAAGCGCTTTAAGAGCTGGTGCTATATTCTTCTGAGGTAGATCAGATATGTTTTTGAATGGTACACACAGGCTTTCAGGATCAGATTTAATACATGATGGTTTATCTTTCCTGATAGGAGAACAGTCTCTTTTCTCCACTTTATTTAGCAACAAAGCATCTTTATTACTGCTATTCTTTTCAGAGTCCACTAATTCAGGTGCTTGTTCCCTCTTCTTAACAGTCTGGAGGAGGATTTTATCTTTTTGTTTCAAGGGCATTTTTCTACTCCCCTCTCCTCCTTGGGCTTCAGGGCTCCCTTTTTTTCTTTCAGGGAGCCTTCCTGAACACAAAGATGACAACTCTGCTCTTCCATTCCTCTCTTTCCCATCTCTATTTCTAGGACCTGAAGCTTCATTTTCCATGTGCCTACACAGTTCTGCATTGCTTGCCAATCTTACCCCCTCCTTCAATTTTGCATTAATTTGAGTATTACCATCAAACAGCTCAATCAACAGTTTGCCATCAGACTCTTTTGCCACCACTACTGCTTTTAATCGCCTTTCTAGGACAGCTTGTTTAAACCACAACGTAGCTTCTTCTGGAAGAGTAGATATATCAGATAAAGAACACTTAATGGCCTGCATTGGCAAAAGCAAGACATCGTAAGCACCACTGGGTATAGGAAGCAGATCATCTTTCTTTACCAGCTCTGTGTTCCCAAAATCCACAAAGAAGACTTCCCTATTGGGTTTTGTTTTGTTAACTACTCCCCTGTACCAGTGATTGTCACTGTACCTTGCAAGACACAAGTTCCCAGGGTTTTGCAAGGTTTTTGAGGCAGTCACTACTCTACTCAGATGACCGATGTTTTCTGAAAGCTTTGCCAAGACATCTGTACACCTTGCAAGCTGGCAGTAAAATTGCCATGGATCATCCACATGAGTAATATAAATGTCTTCCTCGCTCCCAATTTTGATATCATGCATGGAATAATAGTAAGAATGAAGCTGAACAGAGGATGCCAGAGGTTTCTGAGGTGATACAGGCCTAGCCAAACCTTTTTCTATCAAGAAGTGGCAAGCACTCTGAAAAGGTGTCATTAAGTCCACA